CATTGAGGAAAAAATGCAGAGGAGACAGGACACTGGAATAACTAGCTGGAAATATTCCACTATTTCATGGGAAGCAGGTTTCTAAATGATTCCTGTGGAGGCCAAACTCTTTCTCTTGCCAAAACATTAAAGCATTAAAGTGTGCCTTGATGGTATATTAAGGAAGAAATTTTCCCTAAATTTACTTGATTAAGATTTATAGCCTTTCTGCCCCACAAAACATAGCATTGATTTCTTTAATATCAAAAACTAGTTTCCTAAAATAAACTGCTAATGGTTGCTTTCAGTCGTTTACTCAAGATGGGTCATGCCAAGTACTGTTTGTATGAATTCCTGCAAAGACTGAATTAATTTTGTGATTGTCATAATTAATGTTATTCCTATTCTGTAGGAATATGCTATTAATGTGACTGGTCATCACCACATCTTATTTTTGTATCTCTCAAAACATCTTTCATAAAACATTGATGGTAGGAAAGAGCTGAAAAAAAGATCTCCTATTAGTAGACAAATAAATACTTCAATTACTAAACACCAAAGAAAATTAAAATTACAGTTTAAATCAAACCTACCAGGTATTTGGTAGAGAAAATGGAACTATACATAAACATGGTTTTTAAAAATAAGGTTCTACCACTTTTATTATCTTCATTATAGAATAATGGAAACCCTTCCCTGCCAAAAAAGAAGGAAGAAAAAGAAAAAAGTTTGTGACTATTTGTATGTAAATCAATTCAGTCTTTTTATGTATCTTTTTCACCTAAAATAATATTGGCATTTTAATATTATTATAGTTTTTAATGGCTACATATTATTCTATCAAAAATACCTACCAAAATTTATGTAACCATTTCCCATTGTTGAGCATTTAGATTAGTTTTGTTTTTCCAGTTAGAACAATGCCCTGTGAGTATCTTTGCTTATAATGATTACTCTTGATTTTAGTTTTGCTTCTTAAGACAAGCTCTTAGGGGTCAAACGTTTTAAATATTTTAAAGGTTCATTGTTCAAATTGCATTTCAATAGTCAGTGCGAGTTTACCCTGTTTCCAGCATTTTAAGAAATTACCCAAATAGGCCAGGTACGGTGGTCCACGCCTATAATCTCAGACAGGTGGATCACAAGGTTAGGAGTTCAAGACCAGCCTGGTCAAGATGGTGAAACCCTGTCTCTACTAAAAATACAAAAAAATTAGCTGGGCATGGTGGTGGGCACCTGTAATCCCAGCTACTCGAGAGACTGAGGGAGAGAACTGCTTGAACCCGGGAGGCAGAGGTTGCCCTGAGCCAGGACTGCACCATTGCACTCCAGCCTGGGCAACAGAGCAAGAATCCATCTCAAATAAAAAAAAAAAAAACGAAAGAAATTGCCCAAATGACAGAGCAGTGCTTTAAAAGTGTTACCCTAGTGTTGATTTGGTTTATATGCTGAGATGCTCCAGAAAACTTAAAAAGTGAGTATGTGGAGATCAAACATTTGGCTCTGTTTACATTTTATTTAGTAAAGCCTCAATGTTAAACAAGAAGCCATTATTCATATTCATGCTGTCCCAGGCTTGGAAAGGTGCTTCTAATTTTTGCAACATAAAAAAAGTCTGATGACAGTGACAGAACTGAATGACTAGCTAGATACACTGACCGGAAAGCTAGAATTAGGATTTGAGCATTGTACTCAGTCTCCATTTAAGAGCCTAATGGTTTCTTCTCCATTTCGAAATTTACTGTATTTAGGTGTATTTTCATAAAACTAAAAAAAAAAAAATAGACCCAGAGAGCAAGTAGTTGCAGTTGAAACTGTCTTCATTGAACTGTTAGTTTAGTTACATTTTCTCAAACAGTAGTGTTGTGTTTTAATTTTTTTAATTAAAAAATGTTTAATTTTTAAAAGTTGATGTAACTGAAAAACCAATTCTGTTTGGAATCTTTCAGTATTATGGTTTTTGCTCACAGTAAAGATATTTGCTTGTTACGTTTACTAAATATACTATCTATACTTCATTTTGTTGTTTAAAAATAAAACAAACTACAGTTAAACTTTTTGATTTAGGGTATTACATTAATGACTTGCTCACTGACTGAGAAATTGATGCAAAATAGGTCATTTGAAAAGCAGGTGTTTGATATATCCCCATAGGTAACACTGTAAAGCTTCCTTGCTGTAATTTCTTGGAAGGAAAATTTTCTAAAGAAAGAATGGGCCGGATGCAGTGGCTCACACCAATAATCCCAGCACTTTGTGAGGCTGAGGTAGGAGGATGGCTTGAGTCTAGGAGTTTGAGATCAGCCTGGGCAATATAATGAAACCCTATCTATCCAAAAGGAAAAAATAAAAAGTTACCCTGGCATATTTGCATGTGCCTATAGTCCCAGCAACCCTGGGGGCTGAGACAGGAGGATTACTTGAGCCCAGGAGTTCAAGGCTGCAGTGAGCTATGATTGTGCCAGTGCACTTCAGCTTGGGTGATACAGCAAGACCTGTCTCAAAAAAAATAATGTATATATTTAACTGTAATATAAAAAGGAAGCTGAAAATGAACTTTGATATTTAATCTCATGCTCAGAGTAACATATCAGGGATGCTCTGGAGACTTGGTTCATATAATATGGAACAAAATTACATTCTCAATGCCAAATTACAAGATAATATGTACATAATTTTTAGGTTTAATATATACGCCAAGGCAGTAGAGTGTTAAATATAAGGAATGGTACCCCTGTATAACATTATCAATTAAGTCTAAGAATATTAAAACAAGCCAGTAAAGATTTGTTGATTAAAATAATTATTAATTTTTGTGACAGCATTTACTTTAGAAATGTGATTTCAAAAAAAAAAAAAAAGAATGTTGGCATTTCACAAAGGAGGAAAAAATTTAAGTTCTTAGTTTTATAACTTTTTAATGTTCCAAAATGTGTCTAAAATCCACCCCTGTAAAATTATTATTGAAGTCTCTATTATTAAATAATAGTTTTCTACTCATAAATTAAATTGTGTATCTCAAATTCAAAGCTGAATTACCCTTGTGCATTGTTTAGCAGTATGTAAATACATTTTATAAAAGAGATATATCATTCATGAAGTTTCCAAATTCTTTGATCAACTGTGATAATAAAGTTAAAATTTTTGTTGTTAATTAGTAAATCTCCTTATTTTTCAGCATTCCACTGCTTTCTTTCTAACTTTGTAGTAATAATATGTAAAGATTATATTTGGCTTTAAAAATGCTTATTGTTACATACATGGAAGTCTTTGATTATGAAAGTACCAAGAAGTTTTTTTGTTTATACAGTGACAATTGAAAGAAAACTTAAGTATATCTTGGGAAGATGTATTAAAAGTAGCTTTGAGAAATGATGAGCCATCTCTTTAACTCAATAAAAGATGTATATTGCTGTACCAAGCCTCAGTATCTGCTATCCTCTTTAGTGCAAGCACTTCTCAAACTATAGGATTATACAAGTAGCGACACCACTAGTTAAAACATAAAGCTGGGCCAGGCGCGGTGGCTCACAGCTGTAATCCCAGCACTTTGGGAGGCCCAGGCGGGTGGATCACGAGGTCAAGAGATCGAGACCATCCTGGTCAACGTGGTGAAACCCTGTCTCTACTAAAAATACAAAAAATTAGCTGGGCACAGTGGCGCGTGCCTGTAATCTCAGCTAATCAAGAGGCTGAGGCAGGAGAATTGCCTGAACCCAGGAGGTGGAGGTTGCGGTGAGCCGAGATCGCGCCATTGCATTCCAGCCTGGGTAACAAGAGCGAAACTCTGTCTCAAAAAAAAAAAAAAAAAAAAAAAATAAGGCTATATGATCTAAAGACACCGTTTGGTTCTTTTATGAGCCATTTAATTTTCATCTTTTCTGTGACCACATTTATTAAACATGTGACATGAAAATGTAATTTAATACTCTTTTATGATGAAAAAAGAAAGTATATGCCCTACCAATTATGGGTTAAGATTATTATTTTTTGTCAACATATTATCATTCTAGGCACCTGGATAAGTGAACATCTCTGAAAATATCATACATTTATACTTTATTTACATATACAGCTTTTAGAAATCATTGCCAGTAAAACATATTTGGACAATGTGGTATGCAAGTACTGTATAGGGAGAAGCAGAGATGTTCTTGAGTAATTATTCCATTTCAATTAATCCAGCGTGGCTGGTTGTGAGACAACCTTGAAATGTGTTAAGCTTTACTTCTTATAAGAGAACTGTATTCTTATAGATCATAAGCGGTCAAGTTTTCCAAACACAAATGGTTACTTCTGCTTTAAATTTAGTCTGCCCATTCAGTAGCTACAATAAGGCAGATGGATTAAACCACTAGGAATTTGCAACATTAGTATTGAGAGTGTTTAAGCAACTTAAAATATTTCAGAATGCCTAAGATCACAAATTTACTTATGATCAGCCTACACAGATTAATTTAAAATAGATACAGAGAGATGTTAGATAGATCTAGGGTCGTAAGTCCGTGACCAAAATTACATTAATCTGCATGTTGACATTGGTTACCTTATGTCAATTAGAAGCTTTTTCTTAGTAAAAAGGGAAAATTATTAATATGTGCAGCTTGAGAGAGAGAATCAGAAATGAGATACATTAAAGAAACGTAATAAAAGAGTCCTTGGTGATTAATTTTTTTTTAAAGTGAAAACCATCACTACTGAGTAAAAAAGACATGTTCTACAAAGACATCTGAAAGTCATAGGTATCATGGTTTATATTTTGGAGTGAAAATTAAAGGTTTGATGAAAATTACCAAGACTTTTACATAAAATAGTCGATTAAGCCCAACCATGCTTTTTACTATTGCCTTTATTTGAGGATGTTAGGGAAAATTTTCTCATTTTGTGTTTAGTCCTGATTGGCCTGGATCTTAAGAATTATACTGTACTTAGTTTGTAGTAGTGGAATTAATTTTCTTCTTTTTAAGACTTGATATATAAATCTTTTGTATAAAAGTGAACACTGTAATTTCTCTTAACAGCTGTAACATCTTATGAAGATCTTGGACTCTTTGTATTTGGATTACCTGGAAAGGTAATTTTTTTTCTCCTCATTGTGTCCAAAACCCAAAGTGTCATTTTTCCTTTAGTTTCAAGTTAAAAGAGACAAGTATATGTAAGAGGAGGATAATAGAGGAATAAAAGGTAACTAAAGGGAGAAAAGAGAATGATGGGAGCAGGCAGAGAAAGAGAAGTCTGTGTGCCCTTCCTAAAAATGTATCAATATTCAGTGCTTGAATCTTTTAACATTTTTCATTCTAATAAAGGAGCACAATGACTTGAATGATTTTAAAAGAGTAACAATGACCTAAGTTTTTCTTACTAAGTTTGATTGTGTATTCATAGGAGTATACCCTTATAAAGACAAGAGAAGAAAAGCAACATAGAATTCAAATTATAGCATGGCTATTCACAAAACCAGTCATCAGAAGATATCACTTAAGAGTTAACAGGGCTAAAAGATGATCTAGCCATCCTCTCATTTATAGATGAGGAAATTAAGGACCAGAGAAATTAAGGAGCCTATTTGTCAACTATTACATAAACCAAGTACCACATCCTAGAGCTCTAGATCTACTGCTTTTCTTACTCAGAATAAGAGAAATAACAGTAGTATTTATTGGGTACTCATTTGCAATAGGCATACTACACTAGTTTAAAAGGTAGAGAAAAATAGTCATCTTCCACCAATAATCAGATGTTGAACATTGCTGTTAGTGCTATAGTGTAATTTTTAAAAATTTCTGAATACTTCTAAAAGTCATATTCATTTTGGCTCCAAACAGGAATTATTTTGTTTGTAATTCTGTTGTTTATGTTTTTATGTTTTTGACAAATAAAAATTGCTTATATTTATCATGGACAACATGTCATTTTGAAATATACAAACATGAAATGGCTAAATTGACTTAATATTTACATTATTTCACATACTTATTATTTTTTGTTTTATTTTTATTCTAAAAGGATACTCTATTTGGAAGTGACTAACTTCTTAAAGTTAGTCTGGAGGAAAAAGATAGAGCTATGCAATGTAGTTACATTCCAATTAACTTTGCTTTTAAAGTACAGAAAGGAATGCTTAAATCATGCTATATAGCATCATGGCTTGGACCTTAGTAACCTGAAACTTGAACAAAACAGAATATGTTACTTGAGGGTAGAGGGTTTTGTTAATCTTCCTTAGTAGCAATTTCTCTGTTCTAGAGGAATAGGATGTTTGGTGTAACGAGGGATGAATTTCTTCCATCTAGTTTAAACAAGAAGAAAAATTTTTTATGAGAAAGTTCCCCAATTAATTTAATATAACCTGTAAACATAACTCTAACTAGCCTCACTGACATCACTGTCATTTCACATTCATATTTCCTGCATTCCTTATATAGCAGCAAAGTTTAAAGAGTAGGGACTGCTGAGTCTCTTTTTTCTAAAACTCTTAAGTAGTTGCTTTGTCATTTTAATACATGCGCCAAACAAGTTTATAGTAGGCAGGCACACTAGACAAAGCATACTTTGAATGAGGAGTTGTTTGGTTCCTTGTTTAAATTTTCTCCCCACCTCCACGGTTGGGTTGAAACTTAACTATTTCCTCCTATCCAGATATTATATGGATATGATATAGGATAATATTCTGATAAAGAAATTTTTGGAAATGTTTTGAACTTTTTAAGGAAGATTTATTTAAATGTCTATTAATTGGTATTATTCACCAGACAAATATTTGTTGGTCAAATACCTTGTACCATGTACTGTGCTAGGCATTAAAAACATAAGTAAGTAGGTAGGTAGGTAGGTAGGTAGGTAGATAGATATTCTGGCTTTCACAAAATTAAATGCTTAAATTCAGCCAAAGAATGGAAGACTAATCATTAATAAGTTAATTTACTGTTTTTTGCAATATATTAATTGAAAAGAAAACCAAATTTTATGTATACCTACTATTGACAGTAGGTATTATTTGTACTGAAGATAGTGTACAGATGTTCAAAATCATCTTTTCACAAATCGACTGATATTTTGGAACTAATTATTAAATAGGCATAGTTTTTTCTAGAGAACGGTCAAGTGGCAATCACCACTTCTTCAAAGACACTTTGCCAAATTTTCGTATCAGTAGCCCCCCTCTGTAAACCTCAAAGTTCCCAGGTCCTAATAACTTAAGATTGTTTTCAGGATAGGCAAATGCTATACCATTGATAGAATTTCTAGCAAAGATGGGCATGAAGGATGACCTGTTACCAATTCATGTAGAACTGAATGATGCTAGGCAGCTAGTCAGCTCCAGGCTTACGTTGGGGGTTCCAATCCATCAAGATTTGAGTGCTTGAAAGGCCCAAATGGAAGCACAGTGTTTTAGTATTTCCTCTAAGTATATCTGTTACCTTTAGTTTCCCAGGAATCTCATCATGATAAGCTGACAAAACTGCGGGCTGAATCTAGTCCTCAGGCACATTTTATGTGGCTCAAATTTTTTTTTTAACTGATTACCAACTAAGCATCATGAAAGTATGAAAACATTTAATTTCTGGCTTTCTTTGAAAAATCAGAAGATCTGGTTACATTGGATACACATTCTCACATGTTATCAACTGGCCAGAGCTGAGTAGCACCTGCCTCACTGAAGGGGGAGGAATTCTCCAATATAATATAGTTCTTGCCAACTCCATGTCTTATACTCAGCTTAATACACATTACTGAGTTTGGAACATTTTGCCTATATTTTTGGGGTCTGAGAATATTTGGGCTCTAGACTTTCTTAATCCCTGGGACTGGGATGTTTGAAGGCTTGGTATATGCCAAGCTGATATAATCAGAAAACTTATATCATTTCCTTTTAGGCAATATAGCATTGGCGCAGCACACCCCAGCCTGTCTTTTTCTACTTATTTAAGCAGTATGGTAAAACCAGCAAGAAAGGGAAGGAGATACTCTTCCTCACTTTTAATTTTTATACTTTGATAATCATCAGTTACTAGCTTTTAACACTTTTAACTATTTAAAAATCACTGCCAAAAAAAGATTTCAAAAATTTTTTTATAGTAACTATGGAACTATTAAAGAAATACTTTTTAATGTGATTATTAATTTTATGTATTACAAATGACTGGCAAATTTCTTTCCAGTTTCTTTTCACTTACGACTTCTGCATCTGTTTTTTTAGTAAGAGTTACTAGATATTAATAAAATACTGATTCTTTTATATTATTTCCCCCTTTATCTTCTGAATATATTTGTTCTTTTACAGGTGATGGTGGCAGGTACTATAATAATTCAGAATATTGGAGGTAAGCAATTGAAAGTGCACTGCTTATGCATAGATGTGATGGTAATAATGTCCTTCCTTTGAATTGTTGTCTTACTTCAGATCTAGCTGAGAACCTCTGTAGACATAGATTTCTTCAGAAGCCCTGTGTGCTGGCCTCGTTACTCTGTTTTGTTGGTTTGTTTGTTTTTTGGATCCTTTTTAGCAGCACTTGTGACAGCTTCTAAATTCAGTTCTAGCTAAACCCTGATTGCGGTCGTGTTATTAGGTCTACAACACACCTCTAAAACATTGGCTTTCTATGGTTATGATAATTTTTCTGAGGCAGAGTATAGTCTGGGAAAAACTCTCCTGGTGATTTTAAAATGTTTTCCCTCTACTTTTGTTCTAATCACCCTATTGGCAGATACTGCTTTAGAAGGATTAGTATTCCATTGGCTGTGAGTGATCAGGTATGGACAACAATATCCTCTTATAACCAGGAATTTAAAATTACCAAGTGCTTTAAAACATAAATAAATCTGAGATAAATAAGAAGTATTCTCACATTTATCCTGTATCTCATTTCTGTTAATAACCAATTCTAGAAATGATCTCAATATTGAGAACTATGTAGAAATAAAACTGTTAATTATAGACAGTACTGAATAAATGTATTAAACATTTAAATCCAAAATATGGATATCATGTGTGTTTGTGCCCTAAAGAAGGTGCATAGTGCTTAACAATGTCTTAGTTTTCTTTTATCTTTGAATGGAGTGCTAAACAAATGCTCTTAAAGGAAAATACACAGAAAAGGTTGACTTGCACTTTGGATCTTATACAGGATTATATAGTCAGAGGACATTTTAATCTTATTTTTTACATGTAATAGTTTAAAATTATTTAAAGATGACAGTTTTAATAAAGTTCAGCCCTCATACTGAGGAGATCTGAGCTATATCACTTTAAGTATTGTTCAATCAAATTCTATCTTTAATAGGTTTCCTGGTTAAGGAAAAATTAACATTCCATCAGTAAGCTGTGCCGCCATTTATTTTGGAATCTTGAATATTCATGTGTTAATTCTTTGAATTTTCATGAAAACATGAATAAAAAGAATACTTTCTTGCATGTCATACCACATAATTTTCTCCTAACACACACTACTTCACACTTCCAGTAGATGTCAAGAAAACCAGTCTCTTCATTTATGAATTTATTATAGTGTCATTGATTTTAAGGTCTATTTTAGGATAATTTATGTAGCAAATAAGTATTACTTAACTGCACTGATAATTTTTTTTGAATATGATGTATATCTTTGTAGTTTGAATCCCTCTTTATCCTCTGTGTATCGTCTCAAAGAACTATCACATTTTGTGACCCTTGCACAATTCCCACTGTTGTATTCTTCGTCTCTTTCACCTTGATTCCTTCCTTGTTCTCTGATCTTGTTTGTAACTGTTATTGGAGATGACTGTACTGTTGCACTCGCTGTTACTGGATTTATTTCAGCACTTGGGGGAAGTTCAGCAATTCTTAAAGGATTACTCAGCCCTAAACAAATGAATGTACTATGGGAAAAAGATAAGTGTGCCTTTCTGTCTCAGAGAGATTCAATTTTATTTCGAACATGTTTTTAGTAATGGATTTTCTGTGAATTTCTGACAGTAGATGCTTTCCTAAAAGCTACATGGTCACTTACATATACTGTGGGTTTCTCTTCCTGATCAATCTACTCTCTTTTTGCTCCAGGAGTACTAAACCAGGTCACTAGCTTTTCCCTCTTCCCCTCGTTTTTTTTTTTTTTTTTTTTTTTTTTAATTCTTTATTGCATTTTAGGTTTTGGGGTACATGTGCAGAACATGCAAGACAGTTGCATAGGTACACACATGGCAGTGTGTTTTGCTTCCTTTCTCCCCTTCACCCACATTTGGCATCTCTCCCCAGGCTATCCCTTCCCACCCCCCCCTCCTGCTGGCCCTCCCCTTTTCCCCCCAATAGACCCCAGTGTTTAGTACTCCCCTCCCTGTGTCCATGTGTTCTCATTTTCATCACCCACCTATGAGTGAGAATATGCGGTATTTCATTTTCTGTTCTTGTGTCATTTTGCTGAGAATGATGTTCTCCAGATTCATCCATGTCCCTACAAACGACACGAACTCATCATTTCTGATTGCTGCATAATATTCCATGGTGTATATGTGCCACATTTTTCCAATCCAGTCTATTATCAATGGGCATTTGGGTTGATTCCAGGTCTTTGCTATTGTAAACAGTGCTGCAATGAACATTCGTGTACAAGTGTCCTTATAGTAGAACGATTTATAGTCCTTTGGATATATACCCAGTAATGGGATTGCTGGGTCAAATGGAATTTCTATTTCTAAGGCCTTGAGGAATCGCCACACTGTCTTCCACAATAGTTGAACTAATTTACACTCCCACCAACAGTGTAAAAGTGTTCCTTTTTCTCCACATCCTCTCCAGCATCTGTTGTCTTCAGATTTTTTAATGATCGCCATTCTAACTGGCGTGAGATGGTATCTCAATGTGGTTTTGATTTGCATCTCTCTGATGACCAGTGATGATGAGCATTTGTTCATATGATTGCTGGCCTCATATATGTCTTCTTTTGTAAAGTGTCTGTTCATATCCTTTGCCCATTTTTGAATGGGCTTGTTTGTTTTTTTCCTGTAAATCTGTTTGAGTTCTTTGTAGATTCTGGATATCAGCCCTTTGTCAGATGGGTAAACTGCAAAAATGTTTTCCCATTCTGTTGGTTGCCGATTCACTCTAGAGACTGTTTCTTTTGCCGTGCAGAAGCTGTGGAGTTTCATTAGGTCCCATTTGTCTATTTTGGCTTTTGTTGCCAATGTTTTTGGTGTTTTGGTCATGAAGTCTTGCCTACTCCTATGTCCTGGATGGTTATGCCTAGATTTCCTTCTAGGGTTTTTATGGTGCCAGGTCTTATGTTTAAGTCTTTAATCCATCTGGAGTTAATTTTAGTGTAAGGTGTCAGGAAGGGGTCCAGTTTCTGCTTTGTGCACATGGCTAGCCAGTTTTCCCAACACCATTTGTTAAACAGGGAATCCTTTCCCCATTGCTTGTTTTTTTCAGGTTTATCAAAGATTGTATGGTTGTAGATATGTTGTGTTGCCTCTGATGCCTCTGTTCTGTTTCATTGGTCTATATCTCTGTTTTGGTACCAGTACCATGCTGTTTTGATTACTGTAGCCTTGTAGTATAGTTTGAAATCTGGTAATGTGGTGCCCCCCGCTGTGTTCTTTTTGCTTAGAATTGACTTGGCTATGCAGGCTCTCTTTTGGTTCCATATGAAGTATGGTGGTTTTTTCCAGTTCTGTGAAGAAAGTCAATGGTAGCTTGATGGGAATAGCGTTGATTCTGTAAATTACTTTGGGCAGTATAGCCATTTTCACGATATTAATTCTTCCTAACCATGAACATGGAATGTTTCTCCATCTGTTTGTGTCCTCTCTGATTTCGTTGAGTAGTGGTTTGTAGTTTTCCTTGAAGAGGTCCCTTACATTCCTTGAGAGTTGTATTCCTAGGTATTTTATTCTTTTTGTAGCAATTGTGAATGGCAGTTCGTTCTTGATTTGGCTTTCTTTAAGTCTGTTATTGGTGTAGAGAAATGCTTGTGATTTTTGCACATTGATTTTATATCCTGAGACTTTGCTGAAGCTGCTTATCAGTTTCAGGAGTTTTTGGGCTGAGGCGATGGGGTCTTCTAGGTATACTATCATGTCATCTGCAAATAGAGACAATTTGGCTTCCACCTTTCCTATTTGAATACCCTTTATTTCTTTTTCTTGCCTGATTGCTCTGGCTAGAACTTCCAGTACTATATTGAATAGGAGTGGTGAAAAAGGGCATCCTTGTCTAGTGCCGGATTTCAAAGGGAATGCTTCCAGTTTTTGCCCATTCAGTATGATATTGGCTGTTGGTTTGTCATAAATAGCTTTTATTACTTTGAGATACATTCCATCGATACCGAGTTTATTGAGGGTTTTTAGCATAAAGGGCTGCTGAATTTTGTGGAATGCCTTCTCTGCGTCAATTGAGATAATCATGTGGTTTTTGTTTTTGGTTCTGTTTATGTGGTGAATTACGTTGATAGACTTGCATATGTTGAACCAGCCTTGCATCCCCGGGATGAATCCTACTTGATCATGACGGATAAATTTTCATTTGCTGTTGCAATCGGCTTGCCAATATTTTATTGAAGATTTTTGCATCTATGTTCATCATGGATATTGGCTTGAAGTTTTCTTTTCTTGTTGAGTCTCTGCCGGGTTTTGGTATCAGGATGATATTGGTCTCATAAAATGATTTGGGAAGGATTCCCTCTTTTTGGATTATTTGGAATAGTTTCAGAAGGAATGGTACCAGCTCCTCTTTGTGTTTCTGGTAGAATTCGGCTGTGAACCCATCTGGACCTGGGCTTTTTTTGTATGGTAGGCTCTTAATTGCTGCCTCGACTTCTGACCTTGTTACTGGTCTATTCATAGTTTCAGCTTCCTCCTGGTTTAGGCTTGGGAGGACACAGGAGTCCAGGAATTTATCCATTTCTTTCAGGTTTACTAGTTTATGTGCATAGAGTTGTTTATAATCTTCTCTGATGATGGTTTGAATTTCTGTGGAATGTGTGGTGATTTCCCCTTTATCATTTTTTATTGCATCTATTTGGTTGTTCTCTCTTTTCTTTCTAATCAATCTGGCTAGTGGTCTATTTTGTTGATCTTTTCAAAACACCACCTCTTGGATTTATTGATTTTTTGAAGGGTTTTTCGTGTCTCTATCTCCTTCAGTTCAGCTCTGATCTTAGTTATTTCTTGTCTTCTGTTGGGTTTTGAGTTTTTTTGATCTTGCTCTTTCAATTTTGACAATAGGGTGTCAATTTTGGATCTCTCCATTCTCCTCATATGGGCACTTATTGCCATATATTTTCCTCTGGAGACTGCTTTAAATGTGTCCCAGAGATTCTGACATGTTGTGTCTTCGTTCTCATTGGTTTCC